AAAGTTAGTGGCATTGCAAACAGTGCAGACGATAGCGTAAAATTCCAAAGGGATGTTGATAGACTAAGCAAATGGGCAAAACTGTGGCAGATGGAGCTCAATGTGAGCAAGTGTGAGGTTGTCTTTTTTGACATAGAACATAGAACAGTACATCACAGTACAGGCTCTTCAGCCCACAATGTATTATCCTACTCTAAGATCAAACTAACCTGCATACCCTCTATTTTACTATCATCCATATGCCTATCCAAGAGTCGCTTAAATGTCCCTAATGTATCTGACTCTATTACCACCACTGGCAGTGCATTTCTTGCACCCACCACTCTGTGTAATGAACCTATCTCTGATATCTCCCTTAAACTTCCTCCAATCACCTTAAAATTATGCCCCCTGATGATAGTCATTTCCACCCTGGGAAAAAGTCTCTGGCTATCCACTCTATCTATGCCTCTCATCAACTTGTACAACTCTATCAAGTCACATCTGATCCTTCTTCACTCCAATGAGAAAAGCCCTAGCTCCCTCAAACTTTCCTCATAAGACCTGCCCTCCATGCCAGGCAGCATCCTGGTAAATCTTCTGCACCCTCTCTAAAGCTTCCATATCCTTCCTATAATGAGTCGAAAAGAACTGAACACAATATTCCAAGTGTGATCTAACCAGGGTTAGATAGGGCTGCAGTATAATCTTGCAGCTGTTAAACTCAATTCCCTCACCAATCAAAGCCAACACACCATACACCTTCTTAACAACCCTGTCAAGTTGGTGGCAACTTTGAGGGATCTATGGACGTGGACCCCAAGATCCCTCTGTTCCTCCACACTGCTAAGAATCCTGTCATTAACCCTGTATTCTGCATTCAAATTCAACCTTCCAAAATGAATCACTTCACTTTTCCGGGTTGAATTCCATCTGCCACTTCTTTGCCCAGCTCTGCATCCTGTCAATATCCCGTTGCAACCTACAACAACCCTCCACACTATCTATAACTCCACCAACCTTCGTGTCATCGGCAAATTTACTAACCCACCCTTCCACTTCCTCATCCAAGTCATTCATAAAGGTCACAAAGAGCAGAGGTCCCAGAACAGATCCCTGCGGAACACCACGAGTCACCGAGCTCCAGGCTGAATACTTTCCATCTACTACTACCCTCTGTCCTCTATTGGACAGCCAATTCTGTATCCAGATATCCAAATTTCCCTGAATCCCATGTCTCCTTACTTTCTGAATAAGCCTACCATGGTGATCCTTATCAAATGCCTTGGTAAAATTCATATACACCACATCTACTGCTGTACCTTCAATGTGTTTTGTCACATCCTCAAAGAATTCAATAAGGCTTGACCTGCCCCTCATAAAGCCATGCTGACTATTTCTAATCAATCTGTGCTTTTCCAAATAATCATAAATACTGCCTTTCAGAATCCTCTCCAATAATTTGCCCACCATAGAAGTAAGACTGACTGGTGTGTAATTTCCAGGATTATCCCTATTCCCTTTCTTGAACAAAGAAATAACATCTGCCACCCTCAAATCATCTGGTACTGTTCCAGTGGACAGTGAGGATGCAAAGATCATCACCAAAGGCACACCAATCTCTTCCTTCGCGTCCTGTAGTAACCTTGGGTATATCCTGTCTGGCCCAGGGGACTTATCTATCCTCTTGTTTTTCAAAATTTCTAGCACATCCTCCTTCCTAACATCAACCTGTTCAAGCATATCAGCCTGTTTCACGCTGTCCTCACAAACGACAAGGTCCCTCTCACTAGTAAATGCTGAAGCAAAGTTTTCATTAAAGACCTCCTCTACCTCCTCTGACTCCGCAAACAAGTTTCCTCCACTATCCCTGATCGGCCCTACCCTCACTCTAGCCATCCTCTTGTTCCTCACATAAGTATAAGTATAAGCCTTGGGGTTTTCCTTAATCCGACCCGCTAAGGCTTTTTCATGCCCTCTTCTAGCTCTCCTAAGTCCATTCTTCAGTTCCTTCCTGGCTACCTTGTAACCCTTTACAGCCCTGTCCAATCCTTGCTTCCTTAACTTTAAGTAAGCTTCCTTCTTCCTCTTGAATAGATGTTCCACATGTCTTGTCATCCGAGGTTCCTTCACCCTACTACCCCTTCCTTGCCTCAGTGGGACAAACGTATCCAGTACTCGTAGCAAGTGCTCCCTAAATAACCTCCATATTTCTGTCCTGCATTTCACTGAGAACATCTGTTCCCAATTTATGCTCCGCAGTTCCTGCCTAATAGCATTGTAATTCCCCCTCCCCAATTAAATACTTTCCCATACAGTCTGCTTCTATCCCTCTCCATGACTATAGTAAAGGTCAGGGAGTTGTGATCACTATCACTGAAATGCTCTCCCACCGAAAGATCTGACATCTAGCGTGGTTCATTGCCAAGCATCAAATCCAATATGACCTCCCCTCTTTTCGGCCAATCTACATACTGAGTCAGAAATCCTTCCTGGATACGCCTGACAAAATATGCTCCATCCAAACTATTTGCAGTTGAGGTTCTAATTGATATTAGGGAAGTTGAAGTTACCCATGAGAACAACCCTATTACTTCTGCACCTTTCCAAAATCTGCCTCCCAATCAGTTCCTCAGTGTCTGTTGCTGTTGGGGGATCTATAGAAAACTCCCAATAACGTGACTTCTCCTTTCCTGTTTCTGATTTCCACCCATACTGACTCAGTAGACAAACCCTCCTTGATGACCTCCTTTTCTGCAGCTGTGATACCATCCCTGATTACCAATGCCATTCCCCCAACTCTTTTACCTTCCTCTCTATTTCTTTTGAAACATCTCAACACCGGAACATCCAACAACCATTCCTGCCCCTGTGATATCCAAGTCATCGTAATGGCCACAACATTGTAATACTGATCCATGCTCTAAGTTCATCACCCTTATTCCTGACACATTTTGCATTAAAATAGACACACCAACCCATCACACTGACTGTGACTTTGCCCTATCAACTGTCTGTCCTTCCTCACAGACTCTCTGCATGCTGTATCTGCCTGTACACCAGCTACCCCATTCTCTGATTTGTAGCTCCAGTTCCCATCCTCGTGCCAAACTAGTTTAAACCCTCCTGAAGAGCACTAGCAAACGTCCCGCCCAGGGTATTGTTGCCTCTCCAGTTCAGGTGCAACCTGTCCTTTTTGTACAGGTCCCACCTTCCCCAGAAGGTATCTCAATGATCCACATGCACATCTCTGAAGCCCTCCCTCCTACACCAGCTCTGTAGCCATATGTTCAGCTGCACTTGCTCTCTATTCCTACTTTGATTACTACTCTGCTCATCCTGCCTTTTAGCTTCCAACTTAACTATCTATATTCACTTTTCAGGTCCTCATTCCTTTTCCTAGTTATGTCATTGGCACCGATGTGTACCACGAATTCTGGCTGCTCACCCTCCCTCTTAAGAATCCTGTAGCCTCAATCAGAGACATCCCTGACCCTGGCACCCTGGAGGCCACATATCATCCAGGGGTCTCGTTCGCAACCACAGAATCTCCTGTCTGTTCCCCTAACCGTTGAATCTCTTATCACTCTCACTTTCCTATTCTCCCTCCATCCCTTCTGAGCCACAGGGCCAGTCTCAGTGCCAGAGACTTGGCCTCTATGGCTTTCCCCTGGGAAGTTGTCCCTCCCCAGCAGTATATTTATTATTGAGGGGAACAGCCACAGGGGATCCCTGCACTGTCTGCCTATTCCCTTCCCTCTCCTGACTGTCACCCAGCTACCTTTATCCTGTAACTTGAGTGTGATTACCTCCCTATAACTCCTCTCTATCACCCCCTCAGCCTCCCGAATGATCCGGAGTTGCTCCAGCTCCAGTTCCCTAACGCAGTTTGTAGGAAGCTGGAATTGGGTGCACTTCTCGCAGGTGAAGTCAGAAGGGACACTATTAGTGACCTTACCTCCCACATCCTACAAGAGGAGCATGCAACTGCCCTAGCTTCCATCCCTTCTGCTCTAGACTGCCAAGAGATAAAGAGAAAGAAAGAAAAAAAAGCTCACCCTACCGACCCTCCACAGAATCTTTTTTTAGGTTAGAGGAAGAGAATGGGTGGGAGACACTACACATCTAGTGTTTCTGGCTTAGCCACTGCCCAAATATTTGTTCACTTACCCTACAGACCCCGCGTCCGCGTTTGCTCCTGCTCAGCCTTCGCTCCGCCTATTCACGAAGCAAGTCTTTTTTTATACCGAAACCTTACCTTCTCGGCTTCTCCCAGTTCGCGCTCTCACAACTCCCGCCGCTGAATCAGACGCCGCTGAATTGGACAGGCAAAAGATAGATCAGAACATCTTTTAGATGGTATGAAGTTAAATGCAGTGGATGTCCCAAGAGACTTTGCAGTTCAGGTGCATAGATCTTTAAAATGCCATAAATAGGTGCAGCAAATAATCAAGGAAGCTAATGGAATGCTGGAGTTTATATCTAGAGGACTTGAGTATAAGGATGCAGAAGTAATGCTGCAGCTATACAAAACCATAGTTAAACCCCACTTGGAATACTGTGAGCAGGTCTGGGCATCATATCTTAGGAAGGATATATTGGCCTTGGAGGGAGTACAGCACAAGTTTATAAGATGAGACCTGTGAAATAACTCCACAAAGGTCAGTATCACATCATCAGGTCACTCTTTATTTACACATGGAGAGTGCCTGACACTGATTCAGCTCCCTCAGAGCCAGCTCTCAGTGTGAACAGAACCTCTGACACTCATGTTTATATCTGTCAGCGAGGGCTCCCTGATTGGATCAGATTAACAGCGCCCAATCAGGGAACTCATATTCTATGAGGTCCACCTGGCTGACCTGGTTACTACATCCACCCACTCTGAGTCTGAGGGCATGGCCCTGTTCATTTTTTTCAGCTCCCCTGGGGCATTTTAACACTGAGTCAGGTTCCTCCAACTTTACCTGCGATATGGACGGCATGTAACAGTCTCAGAAAACATTCATTTTTCTCTTCAGGTGGCAATGGTGTCAAGGCAGTGACATCGACCGTGTCCATCTCAGATTCTGAACTATCTTCAACACTTGATGGAGAGGGAGAATCCATGGGTTTTGGAACAGTCAGAAATGCAATTGAGGAACTGGGCACAATTTGTTCCCACACCGTTTGAGAGTTTGCAGCTTTCATATGGTCCACATACTTGTTCAGGACCATCGCAGCTATCCAAACTTTATACATCACTGGACCCGACCTTGTGTTGACTGTGCCTGTTAGCCATTCCTATGGTTCCTTCACCAAACTTTGCTCCCGGAATTAAATTGTATCTCTCACTTAGTGGAGTCTTGTGTCTGGCATTGGCGTTCCTGATACAGTTTCACTCCCCCCTCCCCCCAAACCCAGGAAGATCAGATTTAACCTAGGGCAGAGTCTTAACCCCATTAGCAATTTTGATGGAGCTATCCCTGTAGTTGCATGAGGCGTGGTCCTATAATCAAATAGGAACTGGGATAGTTTGGTATCTAGTGAAGCTGTAGGCTGTTTCTTCAAGTCTGCCTTCAAAGTTTCATCTACTCTTTCTGCCAGACTATTGGATAATGAATGGTATCAAGCTGTCTTCATATGATGAATACTATTCGAGTTAGGAAATACCCAAATTCCCTGCTGGTAAATGATGGCCTGTAATCTGTGACCAACACTTCTAGAGTCTGTATATTGCAAACGATGCACGCATTTTTTCTATCGTTGTCCGCTTTTTGACAAATGAACTCTATGCATGTCCAGAGATAGTAAGAACTGCTGATGCTGGAGTCAGAGATAACATAGTGTGGAGCTGGAGGAACTCAGCAGGTCAGGCAGCATCGGAGAAGCAGGAAACCCTTCTTCAGGCCCAACCCGAAACGTCAGCTTTCCTGCTCCTCTGATGCTGCCTAACCTGCTGTGTTCCTTCAGCTCCACACTGGACTATTCCTAATCAGTCCTTGCCTTTTCAAATACATGTAAAGCCTGTCCCTCAGAATCCCCTCCAACAACGTACTCACCACTAACATCAGGCTCACCGGTCCATAGTTCCATGCTTTTCCTGGCCTCTGGCAAGCAACAATTCCCAGCCTCCGGCGATGATTCCTGGACTGGTCTGGCGCAGCGGCCTCCCTCTTCTTATCTACTCTATGATTTTGAAAACCTCTCTCTAATCTCCTCTCACCGTTCTTCTCTGCAAGGATAACAGTCACAGCATCTTCAATCTGTTCTTGTAACTGAAGTTTCTCATTCTGAAATCATTCCTGTCAATTGCTTCAACACTGTCTCCAATTCATATCTTTCCTGTAATGTGGTGCACACAATTGTACACAATACTCCAGCTGAAGTCTAACAAGTGTCTTGTACAAGTTCAACATCACCTCTTTGCTCTTGTACCCTTTGCCCCAATTAATAAAGCCAAGAACACTGTGTTTTATTGATTGCTCTCCCTATCTGTACAGCTGCCTTCAATAATCCATGCACATAAATATCCAGGTCCTTCTGCTCCTGCTGCACCCCTTTAGAATTATACCTGTTATTGTATTTGTCTTTCAAAATTCTTCTGACCAAAGTCCATCACCTCAAACTTTTCTGCACAGAACCTTGTCTGCCACCTAACTGCCCATTCCACCAACATGTCAATTTGGAGTTCCACAATGTCCTCCTCACAATTTGCAATTCTTCCAAATTTTGTGTCATCTGCACGCCAAGATCCAGATCATTAATATAAATATCAGGGAAAGCAAGGGTTCCAATACTGACTCCTGGGGAACTCCACAATGAAACTTTCTCCAGCCCAAAAAAAAAATCCATGATATATAACTCTCTGTTTTCTGTCACTCAGCCAATTTTGAATCCACGTTGTTACTGCCCCTATTATATCATGTTCCATAGTTTTCCTCACGAGTCTGTGGTGTGGCACCACATCACATACCTTCTGGAAATCCATGTATGCCATACCCTCCCATTACCCCCATTGAGCCTTTCTGTTACCTCTTCAAAAAACTCCAGCAAGTTAGTTTAACACAAAATCCTTGAGTGTTCCTAATCAACCTACCGTTTTCCATGCAACTTCTAATTCTATCCCAAATAATTCTTTCTAGAAGCTTCCTGCCGACAAAGCTAAACTGACTGCTCTGTAATCACAGTGATTATCCTTGTAACCTTTCTTGAATAAAGCTGTAATGTTTGCAGTTCTCCAGTGTTTGGGCACCTCCCCCAAGACCAAGAAATACTAACAGATGATGGTCAGTGCTCTTGTAATTTCTACCCTCATTTCTTTCAAAATCCTTTGATGCATCTCATCTGGGCCCAGTCCATTCTCAATGCTAAGTGTCAACAATCTGTCCAAGACTCCTCCTCATTAATTTTAAGCCTATCTAATGACGGAATTTCCTTCTCTGTCACCATGGCCTGGGTAGCATCCCCCACCTTTTCTGCCTTCATCTGTGAATCCTAATTTTGGTCTCTGATCAGCCCTACTTCTTCTTTAATCACTGTTTTGCTATTTATATTCCTATTGTAGAAATACCCTTCATCTATCTCTCACTTATATCGAAACATAGAAAACAGAAGATCGGAGCTGGATTAGGCCATTTGGCCCTTTGAGACTGCTCCACCATTCATTATGATCATGACTGAAAAAAAATTCAATGCTGTATTCCAGCTTTTCCCTCATATTCTTTGATCCCTTTAGCTCCAAGTGTTATAACCAACTGGGGTGAACTCCACTCTGGGTGAAGAAATTTCTCCTCATTTAATACTGTATACCTCTTGATATTCAGTTCCCATCCCTGACCACCCTGCAGTCATGTCTCCATAATCCTGATTATATCATGAAAAAAAGAAGTTGCTGGAGAAACTCAGCAAGACTGGCAGAGAAATCAAATTCAATGTCTTGGGTCCAATGAAGGGTCACTGGACCTGAAACTTTGGCTCTCCACAGATGCTGCCAATCTGCTAAGTTTCTCCAACAATTTCTGTTTTTGTTTCAGATATCCAGTATCCATAGTTCTTTGTTTTACTTTAGCTGCCTGATTCATACTTGTTTTAATCTATTTGCACAATTAAGGCAAAAAGCCTGAAGGCTTGTCTTTTTAACATTACTTGTCTCATATACATTATCTGAAGAAGGGTCCCGACCCTAAACGTCAACTTTCCTGCTCCTCTGATGCTGCCTGGCCTGCTGTGTTCCTCCAGCTCCACACTGTGCCATCTTTCACTGTGTCCTTTTTGGATCCTGGCCTTTGATATTCTGCCTATCACTTTTCTTATTCCTCATTCTGTCTTTTGTTCATGTCCTTGGTTTCCCTTCCTTTGACTCCTTGCATAGGTTCCCATCCCCTTGCCATTTTAGTTTAAACCACCCCCTCTCCACCCCCATCCCCAACCACCAGAGTAAATATTTCCCTAGGACATCAGTCCTGGTCCTACCCAGATGCAATTCGTCCAGTTTATATTGGTCCTTCTTCACACAGAACCAGTCCCAATGATCCAGGAACAAAAACAAAGTTGCTGGAAAAGCTCAGCAGGTCTGGCAGCATCTGTGAAGGAGAAAACAGAGTTAACGTTTTGGGTCCGGTGACCCTTCCTCAGAACCTCCCCAATGATCCAGGAATTTTAAACTCTCCCCCTCACAGTATGTATTCAGCCAGGTGTCCAATTGATATATCTTGGTATTTCAATTCTGATTAGTATGTGGCACTTGTAGTAATTCTGAGATCACTACCTTTGCGGTCTGCCTTTTCAAATTCCTTCCTAACTCCCTATATTCGGCTTTTAGGACCGCTTCCCTTTTTCTACCTGTCGTTTATACCAATGTGTACCACAAGCACTGGCTATTCATACCTCTCCTCCAGAATGTCCTGTAGTCACTTTGAGATGTCCTTGATCCCTAGCACCAGGGAGGCAACATACCAACCTGGAGCCCCTGATACGCAGATAAACAGCACTTAGAATGGAATCCCTTATAACTATTGCATTCCCCACATTTTACTCCTCCTTTGTGCAGCAGACCAAACTGTGGTGCAATGAATTTGGCTTTTGCTGCTTTCTCCTGAGAGGCATTCTCCTCAACAGTGTCCAAAGCAGTACATTTGTTTGTAGGGGAGTAGCCACAGAAGACTTCTGCACTGCCTCCCAAGTCCTCTTGCTCTGCTGATCACCCATTCCCTTCCTGCCAGTGGATGTCGTGCCAATCAAACATATCAAGCTTCTTGAGTGTTGTTGGGGCTGCACCCATCCAGACAAGTGGGAACTATTCCATCACACTGCTGACTTGTGCCTTGTAGATAGTGGACAGGCTTTGGGAAGTAAGGAGGTGAGTTTCTTGCTGCAGTATTCCCAACCTCTGACCGGCTCGTGTAGCGATTAGACATACAGGGTGAGTCCAGTTGAGTTTCTGATCAATGGTAATCCCAGGACGTTGATAATGGGGGATTCAGTGATGGTAACACCATTAAATGTCAACGGGCAGTGGTCAGAATGCCTTATATTGGAGATGGTCTTTATTTGGCATTTATGTGGCGTGAATTTTACTTATTAAGAGAGAATGAGCATTTTAGTCCTATGCTCGCCAGAGTTTAGCGATCTAACTGAAGGGCTTGACAAAGTAGATGTAGAGTGGATTTTTTAAAATTCATTTTTGGGATAAGCATTTATTGTCCCATCCCTAGCTCCCCTTGTGGGGTAATCTAGAATGAAAGGTCATGGTTTTAGGATAAGGATGGCAAATTTAAAATGGAGATGGGGAGGAATTACTTCTCCAAAGGATCATGAATCTGTGGAATTCACTACCTCAGACTGAGGTGGACACTAGGACATTGAATAAATTTAAGGTATAGATATGTGGATTTTTAATTAGTAATGGGTTGAAGACTTATGGAGAGTGGGGCATGAAAGTGGAGTTGTGGCTGAGATGAGATCAGCCATGCCCATATTAAATGGCAGAGTAGACTTGATGGACTGAATTACCTACTTTTGCTCTTAGTTGTTATGTTCTAAAAGATTCAACAAAATGTATTGTATTCCAGCAAAATTCAAATTCGATGTCTATTGAAAACAAT